TACAGAATAACTGCTGAGAGGGTACTTTGTGTCACTTATTAGTTATTACTGGTAAAGTTTAGAAACTTCAAACCTGGCCAGAGGAAGACAAACGAAAGGTCGAAACGCTTGCAGTCGGTCGGGCGTGGTGGCTCACGCCTGTAATCCCAACACTTTGGGAGGCCTAAGAGGGCGGATCAGCTGAGGTCAAGAGTTCGCGACCAGCCTGGCCAAAATGGTGAAACCCCGTCTCTACTAAAGATACAAAAAAGTTAGCCGGGCGTGGTGGCGCGCGCTTGTAGTCCCAGCTACCTGGGATGCTGGGGCAAATTTGCTTGAACCCGGGAGGCAGAGGTTGCAGTGAGCTGAGATGACGCCACTGCACTCCAACCTCGGCGACAGAGTGAGATTTCGGATCAGAAAAAAGAAAAAGAAACGCCTGCAGTTGGTTAGAGTGCCTTTATTTCAGAGCTTTTTATATTTTGCTGCGCTAAGGAAGCAGTGCTCCAGAAGCAAGTTGTAAAAGTCACATGGTCGCAGAGGAAGTAGATAAGTAGCCTTGTACGGGAGGCACAGTGCAGGATCCAGTCGCAATCTCGAGGATCGGGAAGCCGGTGCAGGGGTCCCGGATGGCCGCCACTAGTCACCACCTCTCCCACTCCATTTCTTTTTTTCCCCTCCACTCATCTGCTTCCTTCCTCTTGTTTCTCCACCCCACTCCTCAGCGCCTGTTCTAGGCCTGATGGGTTTTCTCAGTGTAGGGTTACTAAGCATATTGTTGATAGAGTCAATCGGGAGATTTTCGTGAATGAAGACGATGACAGTAGAATGACTTGAAGTAGTTTGGGAAGTTGAACCAAGTTTAGAAAGATAGCTGGTCTGGCTGGGGTGGGAGGGGCTGCGTGGAGACTGGGCCTGCAGAGACTTTGGTATCGGCTGGTGGACCAGGCTTTCCCAACTCCACTGCGCCGCCCTTGACAAGCCTGGACCACTTTCTCTGTTCCTGTTCCTGGACTGTGGAGCTGTGGGATGAGGTATCTAAGGCGTCAGGCCATCCACCAATGGTAGCTGGCAGGATTATCTGGAAGGATTATCAAATTAGAGTGAGATGAAAAAAGGAGTGATTAGTTTTGCGAAACCTAAATTAAGAATAAGGAGGTGATAGTTACATTATCGTGGAAAGGAATAGAAATGAAAAAAGGGCCGGGCGCAGTGGCAGGCACCTGTTGTCCCAGCTACTCCGGAGGCTAGGCAGGAGAAGCTCTTGAACCCGGGAAGCAGAGGTTGCAGTGAGCCGAGATTGCGCCACTGCACTCCAGCCTGGGCAACAGAAGGAGACTCTGTCTCAAAAAAAGGTGAAAAGAGGTCAAGAATCAGGTTTAACGAAGGGCACATTTTTGATAAGTAGATAACAGATAAAAAAAAAAATCCTTTTCATCTGGAATAGAGGGTAGCTCCTTCATTAAAATTTATTTTCTCCATGTCAACAAAGCTATTTCTGATTTTATCCAGGTTTTTAAATATGAATGCAGGCCAGGCCTGGTGGCTGATGCCTGTAATCACAGCACTTCTGGGAGGCCAAGGGGGGTGGATCACTTGAGGCCAGGAGTTTGAGACTAGCCAGGACAACAGCAAAACCCTGTCTCACTGAAAATAAAAAAAAAAAAATTAGCTGGGCATGGTGGCACATGCCTGTAGTTCTAGCTACTCGGGAGGCTGAGGTGGGAGAATCACTTGAATCCAGCAGGTGGAGGTTGTGGTCAGTGGAGAGAACGCCACTGCACTCCAACCTGGGTGACAGAGCGAGACTCCGTCTCAAAAAAAATAGTAATAAAAAATAAATATTAATGTAGCATTTTGATACTTGTTAAGTGTCCCCTTCTGGAAAGCTTGTCTGCCTGGTATACACAGCTCAAGGTGGTCATGCCAGTAGTCCTGATGTATTATTTTCTCTGAAACCTGTGGGTAAAGTTTATCAACTCCAGAAAAGCGCTGGAACTTAGGTCCTGACATCTGTTCCATGGCCTTTTGTTCTGATTCAGTGTTTGCTTGGTACTGCAGTATGCAGGGTACACTTTGCGAGAGTGAAGGTTACAGCTGGCCAGGGTCAGAACCAAGGTGTCCCGAGCCTTGGCTTTTTCCTACATCCATAGCATTAACAAAAACAACAAAAAAACCTAAAAAATTCCTCACTGAGGTTGCCAAATCTGTTAACTTTGAAACTGAATGTCTGATTTTAAGAGATGGGGTCTGGCTCTGACCCAGGCTGGAGTACGGTGGCTGTTCACAGCGGCAGTCATAGCACACTATGTCCTAGAACTCTTGGGCTCAAGAGATCCTCCTGCCTCAGCCTCCCAAGTAACTGGGACTATAAGTTTGCAACTATTCCCAGCCCGAACGTCATTTTAAACAGATTTTCTTGAGCAGCTACTTAATGCTAGTTAGCCATTCCTAAGCCTGTAGGTCTTGACTAACGTGAGCATATTTGTGACTACCCAAATTCATGTCTTCCATTATTATGTCAGCTAACAACTGTGAAGCTACTTTGAGCATATGAGAAACAGGAGTTTTAAAGACCCAAGCAAGAATACATCCCCCGTGTTTTCACCCTCAGGGACTTGAGTTAGTTTGCTCAGCAGCTATTTGGCCCAGCTTTCTCGAGGTAGGCTGTGAGCCGCCTTCTGCTCAGCAGTCCGTATGGAGCAGCAGCCCCAGGAGGTGAGTCACTGGCCTGCTACCACCAAGGAAGACACAGTACTTTCCAAGTTGTGCAGAGTTTTAGTGGGTAAGGATGGTTTGGACATATGGGTTTAATTTTCTTGAAGTTATTGTTTCTTTATAGTATAATTGGTTAAAAGATAAGGAGATGAGTGTTGGGTACCAGCCCCAACCCCGCACATGGGTGCCCTTAGTCCTGGCAGTGATGAGGGATTGAGAAAAGGAAATAAAGAGAGCCACAAGAGTAGAATTTATAGCATAGGTCCAGGGGACCAGCGCAAAAGTGGGAACCACGTTGGCCCTGAACTCGGCTCCAAACACTTTTATTATGTGCATAATCTCATTTATCTTACGGGTGTGGGAGGGTGAAGGGATAGGTAAGATGGGGGGGGGGCACTTGAGATCCTTCTAAGACATGCTAAACTGGTGCTCTGAGTTTATCACCAATTGTTATCAGGGTACAGCTGCATCAGAACTTTAGCGAATGAGGAACCACCTGGTCTGACCACACCCAATAAATCAAGGGGCTTCTGTCTCCGGAGGATTAAGGAAATAGAGCAATTAAAATCACTCCATATTCTCAGAACCTAGGCAGAGCCTGAGGTGTTCTGTGATCTCTGCCCTGCAAGGCTTTTCTCCTCCTTCCCAGTTCCCATCTGCAAAGACCCTCCCCGATCTTGTGATCTTGTGAGCAGAGGTCACCTCCCTTCTCCCAGATCTTTGACCAATCCCTCTTTACGAGGCCCTCATACAGTCTCCACGTTGAGAAGGCATTCGTGGGGCCATAGCAGTATTGCCTGCTCTGCAAGCACCCCTCGGTGTTCCCCGGTGTTACTGCGCTCTCGGATGGTCTTTACCTTAGGCCTCCTGTTTCTGCTTGATTTCTAATTAACTGCACCAATAATACGGTTTAGTTCGTGTACTCTGAGCCAAGCAAGCTTATAATTATTCAGCTAGAATTAACATGGGTCTCCCCTTGGCCATCTTGACCCACAGGTGAGGTTATCAAAAGGCAGTAGATCCCGACAGCTTTTGTAAATGGAAAGAGTGAAATCCCCGTGCTGTCTTCATAGAGCGGTGTGTGGAGTAGGAAGCACCTGGGTACTGGGTACTAAACAGCTTTCTCATCTGCTGTGCCACAGGGAGGACCAGTTGGAGAGGCTGCTTTTGGCTGTCAAACTTTAGTGTAAAAATCACTTTGTGAAAAATGCAGGTTGTCACCTCCTTCCTCCAAGATTCTGATTCTGTCTCAGGATCCAGGAATCTGCATTTTAACACCTACACCAGGAATTCTGATGCACAGGGTTGAGCAAAAGTGACTTAGGGTGTACGGACAGAGGGATGGCTTAGTGGGGTCATAGTTGGGTCTGACTGCTTGGGTCAGTTCGAGGAGGAGGAGGCTAAAGGGGACTTGAACTGAATTCTCCACCTTGTATATTTTTCAAGGAGAAATGAGGTTAGAACAATCAGGTGATGGGGCTAGTAATGGTCAGATCCATAAGGAGAGGGGAACACAACCCTTTTAGCTAGGAGATGATGGGCAAGAGTCCATGCTTTAGGGTCCTTCTTCCTCAGCAGAAGGGTGCATCTTGCTATACTGCTAATATTTTGGTTTATTCATTAGTGTCTCCCCTCTAAGCTGTTGCACTATCAGGTAAAAACAGATCCATGAGTGGATGGGGCCTTTGTTGTAGAAGATGCAACACTTTTTGCAATGTCCATCTGTAGAAGCCACTGGCCAATTTAAATTAATTGAAAATAAATTAAAGTTGAGTTCCTCAGTTGTACTAGCTGCATTTCACGTGTTCAGCAGACACAGGTGGCCAGTGGCTACCTTATGAGACAGTGCAAATGCAGAACAATTCTGCCATCACAGACAGTTCCATGACATAGCACTGCTCTAGAGAGTGGAGGGGAATTCAGTGGGAAGGCTGTCCAGGGAGTAGGGAAGTCCGATTGAGAATGGAGAGCAGGCCAGGTGTGGCACTTTGGGAGGCCAAGACAGGTGGATCACGAGGTCAAGAGATTGAGACCATCCCAGTCAACATACCCTGTCTCTAATAAAAATACAAAAATTAGCTGGGCATGGTGGCGCGCGCCCGTAGTCCCAGCTACTCAGGAGGCTGAGGCAGGAGAATTGCTTGAACCCAGGAGACGGAGGTTGCAGTGAGCCAAGATCGGGCCATTGCACTCCAGCCTGGGTAGTAAGAGCAAAACTTCGTCTCCAAAAAAAAAAAAAAAAAAAAAAGAATGGAGAGCAGAAGGCTCCCCTTACAGGGTTGGAAATGCAGATGTGGCATGGAGAGCAGAAGGCTCCCCTTACAGGGTTGGAAATGCAGATGTGGCATGCGGGAGATTCAAGGTCCATGTCTTCACCCTTGCCCTTCCCTTCGTCCACCTCTTCCGGGCCTTCGCCACTGGTAATCCAGCAGTAGCCGCAAACTGAATTTCAGTTCTCCCGTAGGACTCAATTCTTTGTTTCAGAAAATATGTGGAAAAACATTTTCTGCATAACAAAGCAACTTCGTGTTTCATTTTAACTCCATAATCACAGATCTATGTTACTCTAGGCATATTTTGCAGTGAACGCATTTGCGTACTATTTTCTCCATTTCTGTTTGTTATTTTGCAGGTCGAGTTGGGGGTGAGAAAGCATAGAGCTGTTAATTTATAGTTTATTAGTAAGCAGTGTTCTTTAATTTCCTTCTCGTCATATACTTTGGCTTTTAAACTAATCAAAACAGAAGGGTCTTAGAGTTTGGGAGTTGGAAGGAGGATGGGAGTTCCTACTATCTTTTACTGCCACAGTAAAAAATAATTAACAAAAATCAACTTTTTTTAATAGGTGGGAAACAAAACATGACAGAAACAGATGCCTTCTATGAAAGGTAAAGCTGTGCTCTTCTCTAATAAAGGTCTCTTCCTTTGATGGTCATGGTCAGCCTCCAGAAATAAAAGCAAGAATGGGTCCTGGGCGCTGGAAAGTAGAACTGAGTAGGCCAAGTTTTAGCTTTGGGGAGGTGATTTGTAGATAGACAGCTTGTGCTGCCCCTGGTTGTCGAGTGACCTGGAGTGATGTTCAGAATATGTATTAATTGGCACAGCATGAGCCTAGAGCGAGAGCTTGGTTCTGAGCCACGTGGTTATTCCTGGTTGCTGGACCTAGAACTTGGAGGGGCTCATTATTTAATATGACTTGAAGTGATTGTTTTTGAACTTTTCATTAACAGAGAAATATTTGATCCGGCAGAAAAGTACAAAATGGACCACAGGAGGAGAGGAATTGCTTTAATCTTCAATCATGAGAGGTTCCTTTGGCACTTAACACTGCCAGATAGGCGGGGCACCAGCGCCGACAGAGACAATCTTACCCGCAGGTAGTTTATCTGCATATCAAGATGAGGCAGTTAAGTGATAACGCAGTTACTTTTGGCCAGGTGTGGTGGCTCATGCTGGTAATCCCAGCACTTTGGGAAGCCAAGGTGGGAGAATCATTTGAGGCCAGGAGTTTGAGACCAGTCTGGACAACAGATCGAGACCCTGTCTCTACAAAAGATAAAAATCAATTAGCTGAGCATGGTGGCAGTGGTCCCAGCTACTCTGGAAGCTGAAGGGGAGACGATGGCTTGAGCCCAGGATCCTGTTCAAGGCTGTGATGAGCTGTGGTCATGCCATTGCACTCCAGCCTGGGTGACAGAGTGAGACTTTGTCTCTAAAATAAAAAATAATTTTTTTCCAGGCTTCCAAAAGAAAACTTAAAAAAAAAAAGTTCTTAATTAAAATTCCAGACTCCTAGAAGTAGGGAAAAAAGTTACTTATAACTTGTCAACACTAATGAGATAACAGATGAAATGTTTAAGGATGGGCCTCACTTTGTAGCCTCCCTTAGGAACTTGCCTGAGTGATCTTCCTTAGTCTGTTCTATTAAATGTTGACAGGCTTTGCGTTTTTTTTTTTTTTTTTTTTTCAGGCTTTGCATTTTTACTAACATTTGCATAGTAGATAACAATACTCTAAATTGATTTGGCTATCATTATGATTAAATCCTTTCCTACCATGGTGAATGAAGGGAAAATCACCATTGTTATATTTATTTTCTTTTCTCCTAAAGAAAGCAAGTTGATGTGTCAAAATGTGTATAGATTCCTCCAAAGTAAGGGTATATGATGACTTTGAAAAGTTTATAGGCTAACATTTCATTTAATATATCACTAGGTTTTCAGATCTAGGATTTGAAGTGAAATGCTTTAACGATCTTAAAGCAGAAGAACTACTGCTCAGAATTCATGAGGGTAGGTAGTTTTGCTATTACATAGTTCATCTTCCTCTAATGAGATTGAGTCCTTTATCCTCTCTGTAGACAGGTACAAGTAATTACTTGTGTGACCAAAAAAAGGTGTTAATTTAGCACAGGTTACAGGTTTTGGGTGTGCATCTATGTTTCTGTTAGCCAGCACATTTAGAGACCCTTGCAAAGAATTGTGCCTCTAAAGTCTATATTTAGCATACCACTAGTTACAGTCTGTTACTGTAGAAGTGAATGAGATGACCCCTTCAACTGGCAGTAAAAGCCTAAAAGCAAATACTACATTTTCGCATTGACTCCTTTCAGGCCCCATTTTCTCACTGGTTTCCAAGTAGTGTTGGTTTACATACATTACCTCCTTTAATTCCCACAACATCAATATGGGGTAGGTATTCTAATTACAACCTATATTATAATCATCACTGCATGCCATGGGTATTCAAATCATTTGCCAACCATTATATTTGCATAATTAAACTTTCTTCAGAGCTCTTCTTTAAACTGCGTATCATTTTAACTTTGTCTGCTTACCAGCTTTTCTACTTTGCTCAGCAGCTTTGGAGGACATCAGTCTTATGTCACTGCACCTGGCCTTGAGAACACTTTTGGAAGTTCTAAGTGCTGTCATCTTTTGAGACAGAGTCTCACTCTGTCCCCCAGGCTGAAGTGCAGTGGCGTGATCTTGGTTCCCTGCAGCCTCCATCTCCTGGGTTCAAGCGATTCTCCTGCCCCAGCTTCCCAAGTAGCTCACCACCATGCCCAGCTAATTTTTGTATTTTTAGTAGAAATGGGGTTTCACTATGTTGGCCAGGCTGGTCTCGAACTCCCGGCCTCAAGTGATCTACCTGCTGGATTACAGGCTTGAGCCACCATGCCCAGCCCTAAGTGTTGTATTCCTATAGTGAAAGTGCAGCAGCACGTGGGGAGTTGTTGAGCAGCAGTTCCTGGGTCTTTCCAGTCTGCTCTAAGGTCTCTGCTAATTCAAGGAAATTTTTAGTTTATTGCCAAAATAACTTGGATCTTAAGTGAGCTTCCCTATCATAATCGCTTTATGTTTTCCACATCATTCTGTGTTTTAAAAGGCTAATGAAATTTGGTCAAATTCTATTGCTCTGAACTTTAATATGGATTTTTAAAACAATCAGATATAGTAGGGTATAAATTATTCTGTTTGATTACAGACTAAAATAAGTTTCATGACGGATATTTTATACATATTAGAGAATAGGCTGGGCATGGTGGCTCACGCCTGTAATCCCAGTACTTTGGGAGGCTAAGGTGGTGGGATCATCTGGGGTCAGGAGTTCGAGACCAGCCTGGCCACATAGTGAAACCCTATCTCTACGAAAAATGCAAAAATTAGCTGGGTGTGGTGGTATGCATCTGTAATCCCAGCTACCTGGGAGGCTGAGGCAGGAGAATCACCTGAACCTAGGAATCAGAGGTTGCAGTGGGCCAAGATCATGTCACTGCACTCCAGCCTATGCCTGGGCACCAAGAGCAAAACTCTGTCTCAAAAAAAAACAAAACAAAAAAGAGACAATAATAATATTTTCTCCTTTCCAATCATGTGGATGTAACTTTAGTATTAGTAAACGGAATTTTTATGTGTAGATAACAGGCATCGTATTTTCATTTCTATATTCTCTTTTGGGGCCTTTATAGTGTCAACCTCTAGCCACACAGATGCCGATTGCTTTATGTGTGTCTTCCTGAGCCATGGCGAAGGCAATCACGTTTATGCATATGATGCTAAAATTGAAATTCAGACATTAACTGGCTTGTTCAAAGGAGACAAGTGTCGGAGCCTTGTTGGAAAACCCAAGATATTTATCATTCAGGTAAGACTGGTTACATTATCAATCTTTTTTTTTTTTTGAGGTGGAGTCTCACACCATTACCTGGGCTGGAATGCAATGGTGTGACCTCAGCTCACTGCAACCTCCACCTCCTGGGTTCAAGTGATTCTCCTGCCTCAGCCTCCTGAGTAGCTGAGACTACATGTGCACACCACCACGCCCAGCTAATTTTTGTATCTTTAGTAGAGACAGGGTTTCACCATGTTGGCCAGGATGGTCTCGATCTCTTGACCTTGTCACCTACCTCTTTATATGCCTCGCCTCCCGAAGTGTTGGGATTATAGGCATGAGCCACCACGCCCGGTCTACATTATCATCTTAATTATAAAGTCTGTTATTCTGAACATATGATAAAGGTCTAAAAGCCAATTTTGAAAGTAACTTTCTCCAGTAATTGGACAGGCCACTTTTGAATTCTGGCCAATCAGAGTTGCACTTTGAGCTCTTAGTAATAATTGACACTCACATTATCTGTATTATAAAATGACAGCATTTGGATTGACATTTGAAGCAACTCATAAAGTAACTAGCAGGCTACTCCCTGGCAAAGCCTGGTGTCAAGGTAGAGCCACTGGAAAAAGTACCTGCTGATGGAATAGTGCCGTGCAAGGCATCATCAGAATAAGTTTGCTTCTTTGGGAGGCAGAGAGCATATAAAGCAGTGTAAAGAATGGAAGATTAAGCCTTGTCTCATCCCTTTCACATTTTCCCTTAAACCAAGATTGTTTCCCCTATGCCAAATTGGTTTTAGGGATAAAGGTATTTTTGGTGGGCATGGTGGTCCATGCCTATAATCCCAGTGCTTTGAGAGGCAGAGGTGGGCAGATCACCTGAGGTCAGGAATTCAAGACTCATCTGGAAACATGGTGAAACCTCATCTCTACTAAAAATACAAAAATTAGCCAGGCATGGTGGTGGGCAGCTCTAATCCTAGCTACTCGGGAAGCTGACGCACGAGAATTGCTTGAACCTGGGAGGCAGAGGCGGCAGGAAGCTGAGAGCACACCACTGTACTCAAGGCTGGGCATCAGAGCGAGATTTTGTCTCAGAAAAATAAGACCCAAAAAATTTTTTTTGCATAGATTATTACTTGGCACATCATTAAGGATTTTTTTTTTTTTCTTTGAGATGGAGTCTCGCTCTGTCACCCAGGCTGGAGTACAAGGTGCAATCTTGGCTCACTGCAACCTTTCCACCCCACCCCCAACCCGGGTTCAAGCAATTCTCCCACCTCACCCTCCCAAGTAGCTGGAATTACAGGCACCCACTATCATGTCCAGCTAATTTTTGTAGAGATGGGGTTTCACTATGTTGGCCAGACTGCTCTTGAACTCTTGACCTCACGTGATCTGCCCAACTCCGCCTCCCAAATTGCTAGGATTACAGGCGTGAGCCATTGCACCCTGCTACAAATTTTGACCTACAAAAGAGAAACCTGACATGCCGGTGCCACAATTCTGTATTACCATGAATGACATAGAGAACATGAAACAACATTATGTTAGTCTATTGCATTGCTATAAAGAAATACCTGAGTCTGGGTAGTTTATAAGGAAAACAGATTTGATTAGCTCACAGTTCTGCAGGCTGTACGGGAAGCATGGTGCTGGCATCTGCTCCTGGTGAGGCCTTAGGAAGCTTACAATCATGGTGGAAGGTGACGGAGAGCCAGCATATGATATGGTGAGAGTGGGAGCAAGAGAGCACCAAAGGGGAGGTCTCAGACTCTCTTAAATATCTAGATTTCATGTGACCTGAAAAAGAACTCACTTATCACCAAGGGGATGATGCTAAACCATTCATGAGAGATCCTCCCCGCTGATCCAGTCACCTTCCACCAGGCCCCACCTCCAACACTGGGAACCACATTTTAACATGAGATTTGGAAGGGACAAACATCCAAACCGTATCAAACATGAAACTCATTTCGCATCCTACCATAAAGCCTTGTTTTGGGGCAAGGAAATGGCCATAAGAAGTGAAGGATGACTGCCTCATTTCTGGTTTGGACACCTGCATTGGAGTATCTGTGGGACATGGAATTGGTGATACAGGTGTACAACCTAAGACAGGTGGCCTCAGGTGGAGAAATAAATCAGGTGGCGGCCATGGAAGCCATGGGATTAGATGAGCTTACCCATGTTGAATATAGCCTGAAAAATGAGTGTAAAACAAAACCACGGCGCACCCATGAGTTAATGGGCTGAAGAGGGAAGATACTGAGGAGGATGGACACCAGGGGAAAAGTCAGAAACAAAGAATTACATGATTGTTTCATGAAAAAGCAGTGGCCAACACTGTCAAACAAGAGAATTGGAAATAACTAATGAGCTACTATGGGAAGAAAGTCACAATGGAAGGAAATTGTTTGCCAAGTTATTTTCTCTCTCTATGCATTAGATTCTTATCTGTGAAACCAGGGTAAAAGTAGCACCTGTCTCATGGGGTGGTTGTGAGGGCAAAATCACCTGACTTAATGAATGAAAGCCACTTAGAATAGTGCCTGGCATATGGTAAGCCCTCAGTAAAGGCTCCCTCTTACTGCATTTGACTTGGCAGGTGATGTCATCAGGTTAAAGGTGTTCTATGTTATATTTAGGAAGGACAGTAGAAAACAAGGCCTGTAAATAAGCCTGCTGATACCAAGATTAAAATCTCCCTATAAAAATGGGATATTAGGGATTTTCTATTTATTTTTGATTTGAAATTGGGACTTTTTTGATGTTTATAATTCTTCAACCATTTCAGAACTGATTGATGCATTTATAATGTTACAGCAGAATCTTATTAGGTGACTGTATTCGTGTATAGGGTGGCCATAACAAAGTACCACAGACTGTGGGTTTAAACAGCAGGGATTTATTGTCACAGTTCCGGAGGCTAGAAGTCTGAGATGAAGGTGTGGGGAGGGTTGGTTTCTTCTGTGGCTTCCCTTGGCTTGCAGGTGGCCGTCTTGTCCCTGTGCCTTCATATGGTCTTCTATGCATGTCTGTGTCCCAATTTCTTATGAAGACAACTGGTTATGTTGGATTTGGGTTCACTCATATCATCTCATTTTATCTTAATCACCTCTAAAGGCCCTGTCTTCAAATACAGTGATAGTTGAGGTATTAGGGCTAGGACTTCAACATACGAATTTTTGGGGAACACAGTTCAGCCTGTAAAAGTAGTCACTTGTGAGTCAGAATTTAACGTTAATTCTGAGTGAGTCTAAATTTAATGTAAATTGAGTCAGAATTAGTGGATAAACATTTGATACCTCACTTTTTAACGGGCACACAAGGAAAAAGGTGCATCTCCTCAGGTCAGACTGGATGTCATTTTAACTCCTAACAACTTATAGCAGCAGCCAGGCAAGCAAAACCATCTGGAAATACTGTCTGACTAAACAAATGCTTAGGTAAATACTAGAGCTTTTCAAAGGGAAGGTAACGCAGTGTGCCCTGGGTGTGCCGCAAGCTTTTTCCTCTACAGTATACCTTTCAACAAACATAATTTAATGATACTTGGGGATGCCAATTTGTTCTTATTAACTAAAAGAAAACATAAGTAGGGAAACAGCTTTGTTGGCTTTAAGTTCCCTTTAAACCTGAAGGTATTGCTTCTGAAATGCTCAGCATGTGGTTACTGTTGTAATGAAGGTGTACTGGCTTATACATTCACTGAACACATTAAGCACTAGGAAGGAAACAGTAGGCAAAGAGGTGGTTTTTTTCCCTCCTCTTGTAGGCATGTCGAGGAAACCAGCACGATGTACCGGTCATTCCTTTGGATGTCGTAGATAATCAGACAGACAAGCTGGACACCAACGTGACTGAGGTGGATGCAGCCTCCGTTTACACACTGCCTGCTGGAGCAGACTTCCTCATGTGTTACTCTGTTGCAGAAGGTGTGTGGTGTTTAAGACAAACATCATTTGCCTCTCTTGTCTAAGGTCCTGTAAGTTTCACCTTTGATTGGTTTGGGTCAGGTCTTTTTTTTTTTTTTTTCCTGGCAACTTTCATTTAAATGGGTCAGGTCTTTCTATTGGGACATAGTGATTCCATCCTGAAGCTCACAGACTTAGAATTTCTTTGACAGGGCACAGACTGATAAGTGAAAGTGTAAAATACCTTACAGAAAAAGCATTCCTGAGATATTAAGCAACGAGTATAATTACATTAATATTAGCAGCCTACCAGCAGTTACTGAGGGTGGTAGTGTCATTGTGGTAATTGTCATGGAAAGCTTTTTTTTTTTTTGGAGACAAGGCCTCACTCTGTCCCTGAGGCTAGAGTGCAGTGGCATGTTCATGGCTCACTGTAGCCTTGATTTCTCAGGCTTAAGTAATCCTCCCACCTCAGCTTCCCAGTAGCTGGAACTATAGGCATATACCATCATGCCTGGCTCATTTTAAAATTTTTCTTTAGAGACTGGGTCTTGCTTGTTGCCCAGGGTGGTCTCAAACTCCTGGGCTCAAGTGATCCTCTGGCAATGGCCTCCCAAAGTGCTGGGATTACAGGCATGAGCCATTGCACCCAAGCATGAAAAATGTTTTTTGGTTTGAGAGAGTCTCACTGTTTCCCAGGCTGGAGTGCAGTAGCGCAATCTTGGCTCACTGCAACCTCTGCCTTCCCGGTTCAGGCGTTTCTCCTGCCTCAGCCTCCCAAGCAGCTGGGATTACAGATGCCCGCCACCAAGCCCAGTTAATTTTTGTATTTTTAGTAGAGACGGGATTTCACCATGTTGGCCAGGCTGGTCTCAAACTCCTGACTTCAAGTGATCTGCCTCTCTCAGCCTCCCAAAGTGCTGTGATTATAGGCGTGAGCCACCATGCCCAGCTGAAAAATATTTTGATAATGGTTCTTCTTTGCTTTCATAGTAAATAATTTTGTTTGGCTTCTTTCTAGTAATCTCATGTCTCTCAAATCATTGTCTCACTATCTTGGGAATTTTTTAGGAAATGGAGGAAATTATATAGAATTAACCCCATATATAAAAAACTATAGAATTACTCTTTCCCCATTTGAGAAGAGTAAAAAAAAATTTTTAACCATATATATCATGGACATATCTTAGTCTTTTCTAAGGATTTTTAAGAACTTACACTTCTATAAAGTTTTCACTCATAGTAATTGAAAGCCGGAAAACTACAGCAACATTTTCCTCCTCATTTTTTTAGGATATTATTCTCACCGGGAAACGATCAATGGCTCATGGTACATTCAAGATTTGTGTGAGATGTTGGGAAAATATGGCTCTTCCTTAGAGTTCACAGAACTCCTCACACTGGTGAACAGGAAAGTTTCTCAGCGCCGTGTGGACTTCTGCAAAGACCCAAGTGCGATTGGGAAGAAGCAGGTTCCTTGCTTTGCCTCAATGCTAACTAAAAAGCTGCATTTCTTTCCAAAGTCTAATTAATAGGGGTGATCTTATCTTACAGTCTGTATTGAAAATGTCTTTCTCTTCTTTTTATATAAATATCGTTAGGTTAAGCATATGGTCAGTGATTCAAATGTTTTAATGTTTAGTGCCCAGCAAAGAACTGCCTTAAAAAAAAAAAAATAGTTCATGTTGGCCATGGGGAAAGGGTTTGATATGCAGAAACAAAATCCTCAGGAAATTAAATAATTTACAAGCATTTGTAATACTTTTTAGTATTACAAAAAAGTAGGATTACACAAAAATCTGGCTGATTTAATTAGTATTTTGTCACATTTTAAATGAAAGTTTTTATAAAAGTTGTTTTTAAAGGTTTTTGAAATCCAATAATTAAATCATCCCTTATAAAATATTTGAAATTCATATTTTATTACATTTTTCTAACATTCTTATTCATTTGTGTAATTTGTAGTTTTTACTTGGTCATATAAATGTTTAATATTTCATCTACATGTGAATTACCACATTTTGTGTATGGCTTTAATTCCTACTTTTTAAAAAATCAGCATTTCAGAATTGTTATATGGCATTCTGAGGATGAAACAGAAAAATAGTAATTCTTAGCCACTATAGGCCAAACATCTGCAAATTCTGATTCTGTCAGCATCTTCCATGTTAAGTTCCAAGAAACAGTCCAACCGTCATCAGACCCATTCTTCACACACGATCACATTAATAGAATAATAGATGTTACCCTTTAGGTTCAATTCTTATTAATATGATATACAGAATATGAATAATACTGTTTTGTTAATAACCTGACAGAGGCCGAAGAAAGTTAAGTGTTTGGGCTTTGATACCTGAAACTTGTGATTTGCAGGTTCAAAAGCCATCATTTATATACACAGTTTCAGTTGAAGCTCAAAAACTATCAACTATACTTTATGGTTAGTGAACATTTATGCCTTTTTGATAAATGATAAAAAGATCTTAATCCCAACGATTGCATATTAAAAAAAGTTAAGATGATTCCATAGGAGGTTGAGGCAGAAGGGTTGCTTGAGCCCAGGAGTTTGATTTGGCAAGACCTGGTCTCTAATTTTTTTAAAAGATGATTCCAAATGATGTCTAAGAGTGAAAGTGAATGCCAAGCACAGACCCTTTCATCTCCATATAGAGAATAAACATGGGACAAGGTGACAAGGATTTTTGGCTAACAGCAACCACTGTTGCTTTGATAGACACATACAAGCCCTTTCTAACATTAGCAAATCATAAAAATCCACAAAGTAAAAATCTCAGTTGCGAACTTCAAACAATACTTCTGTTTTACAAGAATTTATTAACCAAAAAAACAATTGAACAATCAAATTGAAGTGAACCATGGGACTCAAAAACATCTTAAGTTGCAAAATCAATACATAGTGGAAAATCCAATGACATTTAAAAATGTAAGATTAATTCTTTTCATTGAGTTCCTCTACTTGCATTTGCAAATAGAGAGAATGGCGCACCTGTTTCAGGGATTCTTTAGCCTGTCATGGGAAAAAGAAAAAGCATGTGGTCAGAAAGAATGAGAAACATACTAACATTACTGCTTGAGAGGAATTCTATAAACTTAACATCTCCTTACAGCAATAAAATATTAAAACTATTACTGGCAAATGGCTAAACTTTTTTTTTTATTATTTTTTGAGATGGGGTTTCATTCTGTCACCCAGGCAGGAGTGCAGTGGTGCCATCTTAGCCCACTGCAACCTCCGCCTCCCTGGTGCAAGTGATTCTCCTGCCTTTGCCTCCCAAGTAGCTGAGACCACAGGTGCTTACCATCATGACTCCCTAATTTTTTTTGATATTTTTTTGTAGTGATGGCGTTTCGCCATGTTGCCCAGGCTGGTCTTGAACTCCTGGACTCAAGTGATTTGCCCACCTTGGCTTCCCAAAGTGATGGGATAAATATTTCAATTTTATATATGGATCTTTTTAACTCTACTTTATTACCTTAATAAAACTTAAAGTGTTATATTTAAAACTTTTTTTTTTTTTTTTTTTTTTTT